AACAGTAGGCAAATGAAAGCGACAAAGTGGAATGCTGGATCAAACTTACGCTAAGCTGACCAGGGGAGGTGGAGGGCAATCAGACCTTTACTGCAATTGGGTAATAAGACAAGCACCAAGTACTCACGGCATCTATTTGGAGGATTCCAACCCTCCCCCTCCAGAAGGGTTGACAAGAGTACTGCCCAACTGTTGCATTTCCATCCTTGTGGAACTATAAATCGCTCTATGAGGACCCTGGGTCGAAAGAAATATTTAAGAATGCACGGTCTCCCACGAGATGGCAACTGTGCTAAGAAATTGACACTTACCTGCAATGATATACACTTTACACAGAAGCACTCCCGACATCTTATTCGGTCCTTTCATGCTCAAAGGAAGTTCACCAACGTCCAGAAATGGTGCTGGGCGCAAGAGGTTGTTAGGGCATTGGAGGACGGTATCTAATTAATCTTTTAAATATTCACTCTAAGGCTTTCCCAGACGGTGTTTGGGGGCCCAGCACGATAGCGACAGTGAGATCAACCGATTGCCACTTGAACAAGAGCCTAAATTACCCCGAAGTGACCTCGTATAAATCAGAATTTTCTTTAAATTTTAAGGGAGAAGGAAAACGGTCGCACGCAAGGAAAGGGCCCACCACTGGCCGCCGGACGTTTCTGAGGAAGAGGTACTTGAGACGGTTATGATCATGGCTGATTTAGCCGGTATGACTGGTGATCTACACCGCGTCTTATCACACGAGACAATAAGCGCAGGTGGATCTGATTAATTCGACTCGTCCTTTTTTTCCACAGTAAAGACCGAACACTGCAACTTCAGGAACTACCTCCGTGGACCACATCAAAACAAGTTTTGAGTTGAGCACTTCAACGAGGAAACAGCATTGAATTCACGAGGCACGTGACGAAGAACGTTCCCAAAGCATTTTGGCCCATTTTATTGGCGGTATGGGATATCCTCGTGGGCACACTGACCACGCCCTTTACGGTATCCAACATTCACAACCATACGAAGGTGCAGAGTTCATCGTACTGTCTGGCATGTTCGAAATTGGTCGAGATCGTAGTTTATAACGACCACCATGACATTTTTTTCCATGGGCAGCGAACCCGAACAGTTTCTTCAGAAACTGACTTAT